ATGCCTAAAATAAAATTGAACTCTCTCTCTCTTTTACCTTGTGACTTTGTCAACTGTGTTTCTTTAGCTATACTGTTTTTCTCCATGTGCATGATATATGCAGCCCACTTTAGCTTGTTTACATATTTTAAAGTCAAATGATTACTGGAATATATCAGGCTATATTACTGTTGGTATTATTAATTTAATGTTAGTAATTTGGACTAGAGGCAGGCATTAGGCTCCATCTCTTGCTAAATTTAATAATTATAATTAAATTAATATTTTATAATTAATTAGTGCCAAATTATGTAGCATTTAATTAATAATAGTAGTAGTAACAAAACCCTATATAATTCAGCATTCGTTTGGCTTTATTACATAACTATCAGGTTTAAGATGTTTATATTTGTCTATTTACATATTGTTTTTTGTTAATTCTTTTATCAGCTTTGAAATTTAAACTATTGAAAAATGCATATGTAACATGAACAAACATCACCACTAAAACCTGATACATTATAAAACTATACTAAACATACGGCATTGGTTGGCTTGTACCAACCAATGCCGTATGTCATCGGGCTGGATAACGGCTATAATACTAAAAAATTGTGAAACAATTTGATACTAGTGGGAGACATTAGGTGACATCTCTTAATAAATTTAATAATTATAATTTTTAATTAAATAATTTAGAACTATTGTTTCTAAATTATTTAAATTGTTTCATAATTTATTAGTATTATAGCTGTTATCTAGCCTGATGACATACGTCATTGGTTGGCATATACAAGGTGTCCCACTTGGGAGTACAACTTTAAAAATGTGAATTACTCGCAAATGCATGAACATAAAAGCAAGCTGTAAGAACTGAACATACCTGTATTTAGTGGAAAACAAGTCCACATTACAAAAGGTGCTGAAAATGTTCTCCCCAACAACTGCGCACAAGGAAATGTGACGCTCCATATTTGAGTATGTCCTCTGCAACATGTCACTGTCAATAGCAGCAATTTCACGTTCAATGTTTGCTTTCAGTTGTTCAATGGTCCTGGGTTTGCTTGCATATACCTTGCCCTTTAAATATCCCCATGGAAAAAAATCTGGGGGAGTTAAATCAGGTGATCGAGGTGGCCACAAACCTTTCGAGATCACCCTGTCTCCAAAAAACAATCAGATCTCTTCCATACTGGCATGAAAGGTATGGCACGTTGCCCCATCTTGTTGGAAGTAACCTTCTTGAAGTTCGTAGTCATCCAGTTGTTTCACAAATTCATCAAATATGGACAAGTATTGGTCAGTGTTCACAGTCTTGTCAAAGAAAATTGGACCAATGATCCGAGAACAACAAATCGCGCACCACACTCTGACCTTCATTAAATAAGGAATATTTTGAACATTATTGCATGATGATACATGCTTGTGTTCGTGAGTAATTTGCATTTTTAAAGTTGTAGTCCCAAGTATGAACCCTGTAGTTTCATATGTAACATGTATTCTGCAGTATACTAAAAGCGATTCTGTTAGATTGTCTTCTTTCATAGTATTAATTGCCATTTATAGTGATATTTAATAATTTAGTTGTCATTATTAATAACATTAATTTTGATGTTTTTATTAGGTTCTGGTGCCCAATCACATTTTATTTTATTATTTGTAATATTAATTTAGTTATCATTAGCAATTTAATGTTAATTATATACATTAAAATCCTTATTTTTAATAGTTTAAGAAAGTTAAATTATTTTTGAGTGATATTCAGTAGTCTTACCTTTACACACTTAAAGATTGATAAATAATTGATGTGTGTTATATGACATTGTGAATAGTTAATAATTTTGTTATTCTACCTAGAACTTTTAGAGTACATGTAAAGAACAATAATTTTATAATTGAATTAATGTAAAAGATTACATCTTTTTAATGTGCATTTATTTGGGAAATTTATTTGTATGAAAAAATGCTTTCTATCTTAATAAAAAGTTAGTTTATAAAATTTAAGTTAAAGCCAAATGATTTCCAGATTAGATCAAGCTATATTATTGCTACTATTAATAATTAAATGCTAAATAATTTGGTTTTGTGACCGGAGGGTCGGCACCTCTCTGATACCTTGTCAGGATAGACACCACCATGTCTCAGTTGACACGGAAGCTATGGTGATTTGGAAATAGGTCACATGAGCGGTTGCGTTACTGAGCAATCTGATTCGGGATGGAGTGAGAGAGAGACAGTGCACTGGAAGAGATTATGCAGAGAGTAGGCTAACAAAACAACATTTAATGGTTAACTAAGACATTAAACTACAGAAAATACATTTCTTGTTAAAGAGAGAGAAATTGCTTTTGCAGTAAGAGAAAGATTTTACATAAAAACCGCGTGATGATAGATACCTGACGTATCGGTAGGTTCCTTGGCTGGAACGACCTTGATTTCCAGAATGGGTACATTAGTTGTGAGAGGTAACGTTGATTCAATGTTCTGTTAGGTTAATCCATGTTCTGTTCAGTTTTTGTTCATTTCTGTTAGGTTAATCCCACATTCTGTTCAGGTAATCCAATCTGGGCACTCCCCACGCTTGAAGTGGGTGATTAGGCAAATCCAATATGAGAACAAATAGGCAAACAGGCCGAAGACGAGAAACGCAAAATATCCCAAAGTCGGGTGATGATTAAGCTTTATAGAACGGGCTACTGCATGGTCAGCAGGATGGATGACGACTGCTCAGAAAAATCGGTCTGTTGCTATATTCACTGGACAAACTTGCAACAATAGGTTGGAAGATTATGAGAAAGTATCCTTTAGAGACTGAGAAGTTGTAAAGTACTATATTATTTTTCCGACTTTTTCAACAATTATCGACACGACTGTGTGCCGGAAATATCCGTTACCTAACGGGTACTTTATGCGGATTCACGTTAATGTGCCAGGCCTGGACTTTAAGCGTGCACCGAATTAAATAATGACAAAGTTATTCAAAACAATCCAATATTTAATAAAATTTCTAGTAATAACTATATACAAAATTTAGTAAAAATCCAATAACAATTTATTCAATGTAAATCAATAAGAATCAACCCGACAAAACTCAAATCAATCTATTTTCTAACTTAACTATTCCCCTTTGGAATTCGACAAAAAATTCAAAGACTTGACTTATGTACAATAATTCTTATGAATTAAAGGTCCTAATCATCACCTCAATATACTAGGAACCTTTTTCCTCAACTCTCAAGACTTCCTCTAATCTTCAATCCACAAATTGAATAACTTCAAAATCGCCTTGGAACTACTTTATCCTATCGGACACATCTCTCTCGTTTGCTGATACGAAGCTCATCACGCTCGTTGCTAACAGAAGCTCACCCCGGTCATCTTCACTTGAGGTTCGGTCTTTATACTGTGAGGTGACATCACAATTCTGAGTGAGATCACTCCCCTCATTTACATACTTATTTGCTAGCAATAAAACTTTGTTTGTCTGGCAGCCTATTTTCCAACAATACTGGCTAACCTTTTACATTATTCTTTTTGACAATTTTCGGGATGTTTTATTCTTTAAGGTTTAGCAAGTTCCTAAGTTGTGCTTGTGGGGTCTCCCCCCTTTTCTCGGTGTGGACTTACTTTTTTCTGCTTGGGAGCGCAAATGTGCACGAGTTTCATCTACGGCGCTTTTCTCTCGTCAGTGAGTTGGTTTCTCTTCTATTTTTAAGTTTCTAAGGTGAGTGGTGAGGAAACCTTCGTCCTAACAAAACATAAGCCCCAAACAAAAATAGAATAAAACAAAAATAAAAATAACTAAAAAAATAATGCTTGGACTTGGTTCCTTACAAACTTGCTGAGTGATTAACTCCCAAGTGTGAAAGTTGACATTTAAATGATAAAATGGTATCGCTAAAGATGTAGGTCAGGTCGTTTAGAAAGTAAACAAGGCTAAGTCTCACAGTTTAGAGATAGGCAATAGGTGCCTTCTCTTATTAAATTTAATAATTAATTTAGACAATTCTGAAATAAAAAGAATTGGCCCTTAGTGGAACTCTAACCCTCATTTGCCACTTACCATGTGGATACATTGTCTGTTGTCTCCAGTCAACACTATGAGTAACCAGTTTGGTTACATCTAAATTAATAGTTCTGGAAGCAAAGATTAGATGGAGGTCCAGGTATCATAACTGGCAACACATTCTCACAGTAAGCAGAGTTGCAGGTTCGAGTTCTGTTTCAGGCTGATTTTTATCTTCCAGAACATTTTTTAATTAATTATTAAATTTATTAAGAGATGGCACCTAACATCTTTAAGCCAAATCACTTAGCATTTAATTCTGAACAGTAGCAGTAATAGTCTGATCTGATCTGGCATCATTTGGCTTTAATATAACTATTTGTCTTAGAGATGTTTATATTTGTAAAATATAAGTTTTCATTACATCAAGTGTAGCATTCATTGATTCATTTCATTCTTAAAAATTAAAAAAATAAGTTAAAATGTATAACAATAGTAATCTTGCTGTAAATTAAATACAGTATTGTAAATTTATTTATATCCTTTTTAAAATGGAATCTTCAATCTAGTTATTATCTCTTATAAAGGTTTTTTTATGTCTTGTTTATTTAATTTACTTTTAAAATAATTTATATACAGGATATTCTATATTATATACTATAGAAGAAAGAATAAACTTTTGAATAACTGCATATGTTTTGGATATAATATAACTGTGTGAATATCATTTTCAGTTATTTTATAATATAGATATGAAATTTAGAATAGCCCATATATGTAGATAAACAAACAGTCAAAATTTACAAATTATTTTTATGCTATTGTTGAATGAATTATAGTGTAAAAATAGCTCATTAAATTTTGCTGTTTGATTCATGCAATTCATATTTGGTATTTAAGAGATTTTCTACTATAATGTATAATTTATAAAATATTCTGTATGTGAAAACATTTAATTTTAAAGTTGCTATCCATTGTATTTTATTTATCTGTTTTTTTATTTTTTTTCTTGCAGGTGATCAAGTAAGAGTTTTGTCTTATAATAGGACAGGAGAATGGTGTGAAGCACAGTCTCGTACTGGACATATTGGTTGGGTTCCTAGTAATTACATAACACCTGTTAATAGCCTTGAGAAGCATTCATGGTATCATGGTCCCATTTCTAGAAATGCAGCTGAATATCTACTTAGTAGTGGCATTAATGGCAGTTTTTTAGTTAGAGAAAGTGAAAGCAGTCCAGGACAAAGATCTATTTCTCTTCGTTATGAAGGAAGAGTTTACCATTATCGTATTAGTGAAGATACAGATGGAAAAGTAAGATTTCTTATGAAATATATTTAATTATTTCATTTTTTAATTCAAAAGATCATTTAATATTCAAATTACTAATATAAAATATATTGAATGTAAAAAATTCAGAAAAATAGATATAATACAGTAAAACCTGTCTAAAATGGATTCTGTACAAAATGGAAACCTGTTTAAACAGAATAATTTTCTATACAAAATATTATTTTAAACCAGAAACCCTGTCTATCACTCAAACAGAAGACTTTTTGCATAACATAATTTTAGAAAATGTGTCATTTTTTTAGTATAAGTGCAGCCAAATTTTAAGTTATAATTAGCAGTATAACTTGTGGGCAGTATTGATTACTCAGTGACAAGAATTAAAGTCAGTAATTTTTTCTTCATTAAAACTTTTGTCTGGAAAGTAGCTATAATAATGCATACCTGTGTTTCTCCCAAACTCTTTAGAAAAATTAACTTGCTTTCTAGGAATAACAAATATTCAAAAATACACACCATTTTTGACAAAGAACTTCATGTTAAAAATATGAAAACCTAGTTACAAAAAATAAATTTAATTAATATATTCCCACTTTTACTTTTCCGGCTTTGTTATATATAATGTGGAAAGTCTGGCAATTTGTCAAAAAATGACCTCACCAAGATTTTTTCATTTTTGTACTCGGGACCTTGAAACATTGAGAAATGCAAAAAAATTTGCAGGTTTTTCCTGTATGTATGAATGTTTGTGTGTAGGAGCACTATTTTGTTCACTCTCTTTGCAGTTTAATAGCTCCTGTGCTTTTTGTCAAAAATTTCTGAATCTTTGCAGAGAGGTTTATGTATTAGGGGAATTGATGCTATTAAATTTTGGTGGTTAAAGGTTGACAGGGTAGGGAAATAAAGGGGGTTGTGTCATATCTCAAGTGGGATCAGATTTAATTCTCGTCATTAGCAAAATGTTCCTGGGAAAGTTAAACAACTTATTACTGGATTTTTAAAGCTTTTTATTAACTTACTCTGTCCATCTATCTGCCTGTCTGTGTGTCTGTTCAGGTAAAAAGTTGCAATTCAGCTACTTCCCAATTTCTGATCTGGTTGAAACTTTGCACACATATGTAGTGCCAATGACAGTACATTTTTTAATAGTTTGCAAACATTTTTAACAATTAGCAAAAAATTAGCCAATGATTAAAATTTGTAAATAAAATCTGATAACAGATGGCACTACAACATATCGTTATTTGCTGTTCTACACTTGGGAACAAAAGTGAAAACAACACCAAACAATGTAAATCACTTTTGGAAAACAATAGGTTATGTAAGTCAAGGGCACAAACATACGAAACATCAGAACAATATAAATTATGTTTGGAAAGCTATAGGCTACATAACTAGCAAGGTGGCAAAAGGTAAAGATATTAATTAATATGGTTATCCCGCCAAATATCTAAAGTACTTTAAGAAAATATAAAAAACATACATAAAAGATATTAACCACTCAGCAGTGACTGACGGATATATCCATCAAGGGCGATTGTGTGGCAGTGGTGAAGGATGGATATATCTGCAAAATTCTTTTGTGGATATTGCCAAAAACTACCACAAAACAAAATTCACATAAAAAAGGAATTATGTAACAATAAAAAAAGACTTTTCTTTACTAGACATAACTGTTTACAAAATCTTTTTCTGAAATGGTAACAAGAAAAAACACGTGGAAAAATACTTAAAAATTTCCTACATTTATTCTTCACTACATAGGGATAACACCATACCTGACTAACCCATTGCTGAAAGGTTAATCTTAACTACTTTTATTAACCACCTTATCAGCAATTTTGCAGGCCATAAAAGCTGTCATGTTCAAGGTAGCATTCTATCACCAAAATAATTGAGAGGACTAATCACTCACTACGTCAAATTTAAAAGACTTAAAAAGCTTTTTTTTTTAATCAAAACCAATCTCACAGAGAACAATATACATAAAGTTAAATGTTAAACTAAGAAGAATTTCGATACAGTGTTATATACCTATAATATAACTAAAACATAGAAAATAAAAAATATATTAAAAAACATTTTGAAGTAATGTTTTTTATTCAGATAAATGTACTAAAAAGTAAAAAATAAATTTTCATCAGCTTTTACACTATTTTTTGGTCATAGAATATTTCTAAACAGACACACCCCATGCTTTTATTTTTGGTCGCACAATACCAAAAATACTATGAAAGCTGAAGAAAATTTTATTTTTTAATTTTTAGTACATTTATCTGATTAAAAAGCATTGCTTTAAAATGTTTTTTATATATTTTTATTTCATAATAAATTAAGAAATTTGCAAGGAAGTTTACCCAATGTGAAAATTCAGAAAAATCTGAAATATTTTTCATTCCTTTAAAAAATGCCTATTTCTTGATTTTGCAGAACAGCTGTTGATCAGTGAGAAGTATCAAAAAACATTTAAACAAAAGTTGCATTTCTTCTTTACATCTGCAAAGCTATGTATAGATTAATATTGAAAAATTTGTGTTTTTCAAGTCATCTTCACCACCAACCCTTAACATAGAACCTTTGTATTTGTAAATTTATGTGAAAGCACTTCTCCATAACCTCATTTCATATTGCAACATACATGCATTTTGTAAGGTTGTCAGAAATGAAGCAAATAAATGAATCCAACAGCACACAGAAATATATGGTTAGATGTAACATGAAAAAAAGCTGAATGAAGGGAGACAATATGTCACAAACAGATGTAGCAGACCAAACAAGATCGTGACCTATGATAAAAAAAATGTAAAGTGCACCAACAGTACATAGTGCTGTCTAATACAAAATATGTTCTAGCACACAGAGATTACATTTTTACTTTCTGTCACAAAGGTGTTATTTTATTACATTAATTTGCAAACTGCACAACAAATAAAATATTGCATGCTGCCCTTGCCAGTTTATTGGTGTTAAAAAATTGCATATAAACACTGTAAATAGATTTAAATTTTTTCAACATAACAAAAATGTTGTTTTCAGGAAACTATTGTAGAACAAATAATTATTATTTTTTTTAAAAGAACACTTTGAATTTAAAGTCTCATGTGCTATGTAAAATCAAAACAACCAAATAACAAAATTTTTTACATCAATAAAGAAGGCATATTTTATAAAATGAAACAAAGTCCCAAATTTTGTATTAGGTTGTTGCAAATGAAATGGCCGATTTTTACTTCTGACTTTGCAACATTTATTAATTTAATTTAAAACTTACATATTCAATCAAAATTGTCTTCACCAACAATAATACATTTTTCCCAAAGCAATACAAATGCATTACCACCAGTTTGATAGAAATCACGAGGCGAATAAAAGCCAAAACTTCATTAAAGGTACTCTTTATTGCATCCTCTTCCTTGAAGACTTTTTTTTGCCAAAATGTATAAAGAAAGTGATAGTCTGTTGGAAAAAAGTCTGGAGAATAAGGTGGATGGTGAAGAATCTCATTTGAATACTTTAATTTTTGTGACAAATAATTAAAGAACTACAGACTTCCAAATGATGCTCCTTATGTCTCTCACCGAGTTTGTGTGGTACCCATTTGTTGAGTTTCTTGACTTTCCCTAACATGTTTAGATGGATGTCAAGAAATGGTTGAATAATGTCTGGTATGTTCAACCTTTCCACGATTTTCCAGACAGTCAGATGATGATCAATTCCAATTTTTGAGATTTGTATTCCCAGTATGATATTTTTGAACCAATTCCTGGTGGCCTGCCTACTCGCAGAACCTTCACCTAAAGTTTGTTAGTATTTTGGGTTGCTTTGGATGCATTATGTCCCTGTTTATACCCAAAAAAGAAAATTATTCAATTTTTTTTTTCCATGTTATCAGAAAAAGTACTCTTAAACATGTGGAACTCACAATATAAATGAGATTACATTTTTAAATTCACATATTATGTGTTTTTCTAATTCCAAACATACATTTTTTTCCATGTGTTTTTTCTTCTATTAGCTCATATTTCTCTCATATTTTGCAAGCTTCATATTTTTCTGATTCTTAACAATAAAATTTTGTATTTTAATAAAAAAAAAGGAGTATTATTTTCATAATTAATAATCTTTCAATTCAAATTCAGATTAGGGATAATTGATAGAATATATCTTTTTTTTTTTTTTAAGAAAGTAACTAGTTTTATGGGTAAATCATCGATGAAAGGAATTGATAATGCGTAAAAATTACCCTCATGTGTAAAGCATATACAAGAGAAACAGAGATCAATAAACCTTATATATATAATTTTCTGTTATGATACTTACCTTTAATTATAGCAAACATTATAGTATTCAATTCCTGTTCCAATAAGTCAGATGAAGACATTAAAAGATAAGTCCATATCACCACACTGATAGCTATATGCTTGTATGCTTGTGGTTTGAATTCATCTTTAAGAATAATATTGGGTAAAGAATAAATTTGTCCCCTATTGTCCCAAGTGCTGGCTAATTGTAACAGACTTATCACACCTTGTAGGTTAAGTGATGAAGCAGAGTTGGAGATGAGATTAGGTTCAAAAATATACACTTTATTAGTATTGGAAATACATTTCAGACTCATAGTCTTTTATGAGTCCAAACAGCAAGGACAGATTACTATAAGCTGATTTTCCAGCATATATACATAACTTGATAATCTTGCTGTCAACAGAATCATTAATTAAAAACTGTACATTTATACATATACAAACATCTTAAAACCTGATATATTTATAAGCCAAACAACTACTGGATTACATTGGGCTACTTTTCTGTGATTATTTTAAATTAATTTCTAAATAATTTTGTCACTAGAGGGATTGGGGCTGTACCTCTGAGTGCAGCCCGTACCAACTTCTATGTATGTCACTAGAGGGAAGCATTAGATGCCATCTCTCATTAAATTTAATTATTAAAATTTTATTAAATAGTTCAGAATATTCTGGAAGAAAAGAATTGGCCCGGAGCATGACTCAAACCCATAACTC